TTTCTACCTAATATTTCCTCATTCCTCTCTCCTCCACCCAAGAGCCCTTCAACAGGTTGAAGCTGGGCTCCAGCAGATTCCCACACATTTGTAATTAATGTAAACCTTTGTGTGATTATTTGGGGATGGGTGGTTGGGACAAAGAAAAGCTCTGGCTCTTATTACATGGCTCCAAACATTTTGTTTTTGCATTTTAGTAAGAGGACATGTAGAAGCCAGGAAACTAGAAGTAGACCTGTAGTGTAGATGCAGGAAAAGAGGTTAGATAGAATATAGGTTATATGAAATTAGATAGTGGGAATTTAAAATGATTTAAATATGTACTATAATTTGTCTTAGTTAGGATTTCTATTGCTCTGAAAAGACACCATGACCATGGCAACTCTTACAAAGAAAACATTTAGCCGGGCAGTGGTGGCGCACGCCTTTAATCCCAGCACTCGGGAGGCAGAGCCAGGAGGATCTCTGTGAGTTCGAGGCCAGCCTGAGCTACCAAGTGAGTCCCAGGAAAGGCGCAAAGCTACACAGAGAAACCCTGTCTCGAAAAACAAAAAACAAAAAACAAAAAAAACATTTAATTGGGCTCCCTTATAGTAGAGAGGTTTAGTCCATTATCATCATGGTGGGGAGCATGGCAGTGTTCAGGCAGATAAAGTGCTGGCTACATCTTCATCAGAAGGCAACAGGAAGTAGGCTATGACATTGGGTGGTATCTTGAGCAAATATGAGATCTCAAAGGCCACCTCCACAGTGACACACTTCCTCAACAAGACCACACCTATTCCAACAAAGCCACACCTCCTAATAGTTCCACTCCCTAGTAGCTTATGGGGGTCAATTACATTCAAACTACCACAGTAGTGTTGAGGATAAGTGAAGGTTGCTCAAAGGTCAACTAAAATGAGATGTTTGTAAAAAAGCTAGATGGGAGTCTATCATTTTGCAACCCAAGCAAAAAATATAATGAGAGGATAGGAGAACACATGTGATATAAAAAGATGGATCATTGGATAATGTGTACTAGATGTTTAACTGGGGATGGGGAAAAAAGAAAGGAGTAATAGTGGGTGGGTTAATGAAAATGAAGGGTATATGAAGTATTATGAAATCACATTGTCTTACAAGTTAACAGGAAATATAATTTTTCAAACTTTGAACAGCAGCAACCCACATAGGTAAATAATGCTGATCTTAGGTACCAGGGCTATTAAATGAAATGCTATATACCAAGTATTGGTTATCTGACTAAGAATTACTAGTCATGGAGACACCAGAGGCACATCAAACAGGTCTTCATTGCCAGTGCTCTTCCTTGGACATCATCAGTACATGACATTGCTGAAGGCACAAAACACTTTGGTTATGAGATAGAGAGAAAGCAGTTTTGAATGTACCAGGGAACTCTTCCTGCTGGCTAGCTTCCATAGGAGTGCAAGGTTCTGTGCAGGTACCTGGCAGGGAAAAGATATCAGCGGTCTCATTTACCCTGGACCCTGCATCAGTAATACAAACCTACTTGGCAAGATGTGTACACTGGTGCAATACTGGCACATCTGTTTATGGGCATAACCAACCTGTCTCTTGATAGGATTGACACCAGATCCATAGAAGGGAATTCATGTCTGGTACTGTACACATAGGTAAAAAAAAAAAAAAAAAAGTCATGGCTTGGGAATTACAGGTCCAAGGGCAGAACCTATTGATGTTTTATTAATGATCATGTTAATCTGCCATCTGAATATTCATGTTTATAATATCAATTTGTACTACTCTGAAACTTGAAGTTTCCTCTTGCAGTTGGTAGTAGATAATCCAGATTGAAATAGTTGTTCAAAAAGTACTGAGAACAAGCAACTGTGCAAGACTGGCACAATTACCATTTAATCATGGTTGAAGGAGGGCGCCAGGAGCCTCCTTTCCCTCAATGAACATCTACTGGCAGTTAGTGGCAGGTATGTTATTTTAGAGTATGTGGTGGTTTGAAAGAAAATGACCCCCAAAGGGAATGGTAACATTAGGTTTGGTCTTGTTGAAGTAGGTGTGGCCTTGTTGGAAGAAGTGGGTCACTGTGGGGGCAGGCTTTGAGATCTGTTTTTGCTCAATCTTAGCTCAGTGTGACACTCAGACCACTTCCTGTTGCCTACAAGTCAAGATGTAACTCCTTCTCCACTCTCAGCTCATTCTCTAGTACCATGTCTGCCTGCATGCTGCCATGTCCCGCCATGATGATAATGGACTAAACCTCTGAAACTGTAAGCCAGCCCCAATTAAATGTTTTCCTTTGTAAGAGTTGCAGTGGTCCCTTGGTCTGCTGGCAGTGGTCCAGAGGGTGCCTGGACCAGTCTACTCTGGTGACCAGCCTAGCAAATAACCTAGCTATCATCATAGAGCCTTTGTCCAGTGACAGATGGAGGCAGATACAGAGATCCACGGCTAGGCACCAGGCTGAGCTCCAGGAATCCAATTGATGAGAGAGAGGAGAGATACTGCAGGCGAGGGATGTCAAGATCATGATGGGAGGATGTGCAGAGATGACCGGCCACACTAGTGGAAGCCCATGAACTGTGGACTGGTGGCTGTGGAGCCCCCGTGGGAGTGGACTAGACCCTCTGGACACGGAAGACGGTTGTCTGGCTTGAATTGTTGGGATCCCAAACCCAGGCAGGGGGATCGGGATCTGTCCCTGGTCTATGGGCAGGCTTCTGGAATCCAGGGCCTGTGGTGTGACACCTTGCACAGCCTTGGTACAGTGGGAAGGGGCTTGGACCTGCCTAGGCTCGGTGTGCTGGGCTCTGCTGACTCCCCATGGGAGACCTCGATTTGGGGGTTGTAGGGATGTGGGGTGGCTTGGGAAAGAGGACTGGGGGTGGGAGAAGGGAGGAGGGGGGGTCTGTGGGTAGCATGTGGAGTAGAAAATTTCTTAATAAAGAAAAATGAAAAAAAAGAGTTGTGGTGGTCATGGTGTCTCTTCACAGCAATAGAAACTCTTAATTAAGACAGAGTAAATACTTCCCCATTTTCTGTCAGTACTTCAAAAGTAATTTCTGCATGTTTTCAGGGATTTCTTTGTTCTTTTTATGAGACAGGGTCTTTGTGTAACCCTGGTCGTCTTGGCATTTGCTCTGTAGGGTGCCTTAATCTCCCAGAGATCAACCTATCTCTATTTCCAGTGTCCAGGGATCAAAGGCATGTTCTACCATGCCTTGTGACCTTAGGGATTTCTTTTTAATTATTCAATTTTATATGTATGGGTGTTTTGCCTGCATGTATGTATGTACAGTATTTGCATGACATGCCTACAGAATTCAGAAGGCATCAGATACCCTAGTACTATAGTTACAAACAGTTCTGAGCTGCCAGGTTGATACTGAGAATCAAATCAGGTCCTATGGAAGAACAACCAGTGATCTTAATCACTGCACCATCTCTCCAGTCCCGATCTGGGGATTTATAATCTATAAGTGAGTATGTACATTTTGTCACATTCACAGTTAAACTATTTACACTTTCTCAACTTCTTGCTATTTGTATAGTTTGAATCTAGTATGAAGATTTTTGAAGGTGAATAAAAGATGAGAATTTATTGGAGCATTTGTTTTCTTTCATTATGAATTTTCTTTCATGGTTACTATTTCAGCACTAGGTAAAGGATTTATAAAATTGAATGTATTTGGAGGATGGAACTTCCAATGAACAGCAAGACATGGGGACTATATGGTATAGCTTTATAAGGTTTGCCTGAAGTATGAATTTAGTGAGGTATAGCAAAATTAGAGGAAAAATTAAAAGCTTTCTCAAAATTTTTGATACTACATTTTGTCATTATTATTATTATTATTTGTTATTGGAGACAGGGTTTATATAGTCCTGCCTGTCCTGCATCAGGCTGGCCTTGAAGTCACACAAATCCCACTGCCTCTGTGTCTGAAGTGCTGGGATTAAAGGTGAGCACCACCATGATTGGAATTATTATGAATTTTTAGAGGCCGAACAAGATAAATGTTTTTATTATAGCTTTTCTCAGGGGCTGAAGAGATGGCTTAGTGGTTAAGAGCGCTGGATCTTCTTCCAGGGAATCAGGGTCCAATTCCCAGCAAGATATAGCAGCTCACAACTGCCTATAACTCCAGCTTTGGGAATCTAATACCCTCTTTTGGCATCCATAGGTAGGAAGCATATATGGAGTACACAGACATGAAATGCAGTCAAAATTCCTATACATATTTTTTTAAAAAACCTTTTCACACAGTTACATTTGCAGAATTTTGTTTTAATATAAACACTGTGATACTTTTTAATAATTAAACCTCATTAAAGATATTCACAAGTTTCATATCTTTATGGCTCTATTATGTATACTGTTGTGACTTATAAGCAGAGAATACCAGATAAATGCTATATCACATTGCTTACAATAGCTTTTTTCGCTACAATATAAATTTTCTGATGAGCCTGAATAGTTGAGGACTTAGTAAAAGATTCGCCACATTCCTTACATATGTGAGGTCTCTCTCCAGTATGAACTCTGTAATGTGTTCTAAGATTTGAATGCTGGATGAAGGATTTGTCACAGTCTTTGCATTTGTAAGGTTTCTCTCCAGGATGAATTTTCTGATGTACTCTAAGATACGAGCTTCGAGTAAAAGATTTGCCACATTCATTACAGAAATAATGTCTCTCCTTTGATGTTTTCTCAGATTTGAATGCTGGGGAAAGGCTATGTCTTTGCATTTGTAAGTTTTCTTTCCAGTATGAATTTTCTAATGTTCTCTAAGAGTTGAGCACTTAGAAGATTTGTCACATTCCTTACATCTGTAAGGTTTCTCTCCAGTGTGAATTTTCTGATGTGTTCTAAGAGTTGAGGTTATAGCAAAGCATTTATCACATACCTCACATTTGTAAGGTTTCTCACCCATATGGATTCTGTGATGCATTTTAAGATGTGATAATTCAAGAAAGGACTTACTACAATCTTTGCCTTTACATAATTTCTCTAGAGAATGAATTTTCTGGTGCCTTCTAAATGATGAGTAGTGTCTACAGGATCCGTCACACTCATTGCATTTGTAAAGCTACTCTCCAGCATGCCTTTTCTTTTTATGTATTTTCTGATGGCTTTGAAGAGCTGATAATTGAGGAAATGACTTTCCACATTCTTTGCATTCGTAAGGTTTCTCCCCAGTATGAATTCTTTGATGTGTTTTAAGACTTGAGCACTGAGTAAAGGATTTGTCACAAACGTTGCACTTGTAGGGTTTCTCTCCAGAATGAATTCTCTCATGTTTTGTAAGAGTTGACTTTAGAGAAAAGAATTTGTCACATTCCTTACATTTGTAAGGCTTCTCTCCAGTATGCATTTTCTGATGGCTATGAAGTGCTGATAAGTCATGAAACATCTTTCCACAATTTTTGCATTTGTAAGGTTTCTCCCCAGTATGGAGTCTTTGATGTATTTTAAGATGTGAACACTGATTAAAGGATTTGTCACAAACATCGCACTTGTAGGGTTTCTCTCCAGTATGAATTCTCTGATGCTTTGTAAGAGTTGACTTTACAGGAAAGGATTTGTCACATTCCTTACATTTGTAAGGCTTCTCTCCAGTATGTAATTTCTGATGGTTCTTAAGTACTACCAACAGGCGAAATGACTTTCCACACTCCTTGCATCTGTAAGGTTTCTCCCCAGTATGAAGTCTTTGATGTGCTTTAAGACTTGCACTCTGGTTATAGGATTTGTCACAAATGTTGCACTTGTAGGGTTTCTTTCTGCATTTCTCACACTGGTGTGGTGTCTCTCCAATGCAGATTATTTGTTTTATAAGATTGTATGTAGAGCCAAAACAGTCATCATATTCTCTCCGACGATTATGTTTCTTTGCAGTGTAGTGTCTCTGATCTTGAGGAATATTGGGACAGAAATCTAGAGATTTCTCACAGTCTTTAGATTTGCAATGTTCTTCTCCAGTGTGCATGCTTTCATGTCTGTCTGGGTTTGATGAGTCAATAGAGGCATCCCTGTGATTACTGCATGTGTAGTTATTAGAGTTTTCTGTAATTTCACTTGTTCTATAAAGTGCACATGTAGAGGGATCATGAAGCACTTTGCCAAGCTCATTACACTGACAAGACTCCTTTTCAGTCTTCACATGTTGATGGACAGGATCACATTTGCAATAGTTCTCTGAAAATGAGTACAATTCAGATTACATGGGCTTGTTCCAAGATTAAACATTTGATAAATGACAGAGTCTTTCAGTTTTCTCTTCAGAAAAATCAACCAGCAACTATTTAGAATAGAGTTCTTAGTAGTCAATCTTACTCTTTCACTATAATTATATGGATTCTCACAAAAAAACAAAGTGATAGCCTTCACGGAAGATGAAACAAATATTAGAGGAATCAGTAATCCAGCCTTGGGATGGAGCTCACTGACTGATTATAATTAGAATACATGTCTCTAATTTTAAATATTTATTTCCTCAGGTATTGATGAAAAAGAGTTTAATCTAATCCCAGATTCACAGTATTTGTACTTCCTAATACCAGCAATGAAGAGTACTGTTGAGAATTGCTTTTAAGATTAAAGGCTTACTCAAAAGCATCAAAGAATTCTTTTTTCTTAAAAAAAAAAAAAGGGATTAGATTCTTCAAAATTCATAGATGCAAATCAAGTATTCTGCCAGACATCAGAGGTCATTTGAGGCAGGGCTGTCATGGGCAGCTATTGCTTATTTCTACCCTCCACTGTCTGAGCTCCACACACTGCTGTGTTTCTTAACTTTCCTCATAGGGTTATTCTCAAGTCCACTCTGTACACTGACTCCAAAGATTATTTCCCAGAAGGGTGTATGTGTGTTCTCCACTGGGAAAAATATAAAAAGGATGTGATATAAAGACAGACAGCAAGGAAGGCAATTACAGAATAATTCTACCCCATGGACTCATTTTAGACACAAAATTTGTAAAATTATTCCAGTTGGATGTCAGCATAATCAAATAAAATTGCATTTTGTACTAGTATCAAGTCACCATAGTTCAGATGCAATAAAGCACAATGTCTTCTAACAGTTACAACAGGTAGAATGCATCCCGGGACCAGGACACTATAGTAAGTTAAATGATCAGGAATCCTTTCAAGTGGAATTAAATACAGCAAAACCATTTTCAGCTCTTGCTTTCTCTTTCACTGGAAGCCACCATTGTCCTGCTCATTCATGAGCCCACCCTGGTTGTGGCTACTCTCTCCTCTCCACATTCCAGGGCAATCTTATTTGCTCTGGACAGGTGATCAGGCCAACCTTGCATATAATAATCCATCCACATGTTCTGTGAGGTAGCCCATGACTCATGACAGAGTTTCTAGAAAGAATACAGACATCTAACACAGTACTGTGCTCAGTACATGAAGAGAACACAAAGTATGGGAATATAGGAATGATTTCCCAATTGTTATTTCCTGTAAGTATTCTAAACATATTTAGGGAGAAATTTCAGTTTCTATACCTTGAGTTTTCCTCATAATTAAAATGATGTCAAATGCAATTATGGACATGGAACTTAAGATATAGGTGGAAATAGCCCCAAATCCTGTGACCTATAATCTGTCCTGTCTGTAAAATATGCTAGGGCAATGGTGCAGCAGAAAGTGAGGGAGTAGCCAAGAAATGTCTGAATTTACTTATGGCCCAATCTACAAGACTGAACCCATAGCCAACACTGCTTGGGTAACCAAGGACCAAAGACTAGATAGATCAGGGAACAACAGTAAAACAAAGAACTACTGGTATAAAAAGAAAAAAAAAGTGTCAATAAAATAACTCCTTATGATATTCTACTATACTCATAGATCAGTGCCTTATTCCGTCACCATCTCACAAGCTTCCTCCTGCAGCATATGGGAAAAGACGCAGAGACCCACAGTCGGTCAGTATGTGGAGAGAGTCTACATGTGATGTCTCCATTAAATCCCTCCCCTCAGAGCTCACGGAACCATGCAGAGAAGAGGTGAAAGGTGTGTAAGATCCCAAGGGGATAGAGGACAACAGAAGAACAAGGCCCTCTGAACCAACTAGCTAAGTGTAAGAGAGTTCACAGAGACTGAAGCAGCAGGCACAGGGCCGACACGGGTCTGCACCAGGTCCTCTGCATATGTATTTATATAGTTTTAAGCTTAGTCTTCTCATAGGACGCCTGAGTGTGAGAATGAAAGGGTCTCTAGTGCTCGTGTCTATACGTGGAACTCTTTTCCTTCTGTTGGGTTACTTTGTCTAACTTCAGTATGATGGTTTTTGCCTCATCTTATTATATTTTATTTTGTCAGGCTTGGTTGTTATCTCTTAGCAGGCTATTATTTTCTAATGAGAGACAGAAAGGGAGTAGGTATTGAAGGGAGGGGATATGGGGAGGAAGGAGTTGTAGAGGGATGGGAAAGTATCATCAGAATATACTGTATGAGAAAAGAATCCACTACAATAAAAGGAAAACAATGGAAAAGAAGATCTGGGTGCAAACATTATATGCGGCGACATTTCTGAATGCATCTTGGAACCAAAGCGAGGGGTGCATGATACCTCTAAAATGGAAAACGGAAGGGAAAAATTAAGTATCGTGAAAAAGTTCTTCTGTAATACCAAAGTTTCCATAGTCCTCTGTTGTTTCCAAGACTGCTTAACACAGAGCTAACAACCTATAAAGTCGGTACATACAAAGGATTAATTAGGAATTCTACAAGCAAAATTTCTCACCCAGAGAGACCAGGTTGCGGTAATTCTCCAACATCACATCAGTGTACAAAGACCTCTGAGCAGAGTCCAGGTATTCCCACTCCTCTTTTGAGAAGTCTACAGTTACATCCCAGAATGTCAACAGACCCTGAAACAAAAAAGTACAGCTTGATCATGTGATACTGGACAGCGTGCTTTCTTGGATATAAGGAGACCTGAAGAAATTAGAGCTATAGATGAGGGAACACAATTACTCAAAAAAATTATTTCTGATACAGTCACATCCTATAATGAAGGTTCTAACTCTGTGAAAAACAGGATGACACAGTAGTCTCACATGCAATATACTCAAAAGAAGACACACAGTTAAAGTCTGGACATGGTTATCTATCTGTCATGGATGCTGTGTTTATGTCCCACAGGATCACAGCATACATGTCTTAGAAGAAAAATCTGTTATGAGGACATGTGCTTTTAAATGCTGTACTTGTAGATCATGCTACAGTGGATTAAAACCCATATTTAAAATGAGAAACACAGAAACTTAAAGAACACAGGAAATACCCTCAGAATATGGGATAGGCAAGAATTTACTGAAAGGAAAAAACACAAACCGAACTGGAAATAATCCCAAGTATCAACAGATGGAATTACATGGATATAAAGTGTTTCTGTTTATCAAAAGAAACAATCAGCAGCTCACACAGACTCCCCACAGAATGGGAGAGAGACTGTACCAGTGACGCTTTGGATAGGGGCTCTTACCTAGAATTTACAAACAATTATAGAAACTAAATACCATGGAAATGAAACTGCCAAACAATATATGTGCAAATGATCTGAATAGACACTTTGTGAAAACAGAAACACAAATGGCCAATAAATTTTGTAAAACGTGTTTAGAATCCCTAAAATGCCATCATGGAAATGCAAATTAAAACTACTTGAAATACATCTCACCCCAGGCAGAATGACATCAAGCAATCTGACAACACATGTCAGAGAGGATGAGGACGAGGAAGAAAGATCCCCTTAGTCACTGTTTGTGTGTAGTGTAGTGTAATTAATACAACCATTGTGGAAATAAGTTTAGAGAGCATTGAAAAAAATTAAAGATAGAACTAATATATGAACAGCTCTTTTACTCCTGGGCATACACCCAGGGAACTCCATTCTCCACTATTGAGATAATTACAGCCCATATTTACTGCTGCTTATTCACCAAAGCAAAGAATTGGAATCAACCTAATTGTCTATCAACAGATGAATGGATAATGAAAATGGTATACATATAAAATGGAATACTATACAGCTGAAGAGAAAAATGTAATAAAAATTTTCAGGATAATGGTGGGACTTAGAATATGTAATAGTAAGTAATGTCATACAAGTCAGAAAGAAAGAAATCACGTTTTCCCTCATATGTAGAATCTAGCCAATAATATGTGTATATGAGAAACAATGTACATGTGGGCACAGTAGAACATGGAGTAAAGAGAACAGGAAACTTTAAATCAGGAGTTCAGGTATAACTGAATGCAGGTAATGAACACCAGTTATGAAAAATTATATAAAACTACTTGCTTTTCTAGTTCTAATTCTGTGACACGTCTTTTGGTTTTGGGTGGTGTATAATTACAACATAACATACTCAATAGTAAACATATAAAATCACATGTGAGGCTCAGAGCTTCTATTCCTAATGGCAACTCTAACTGTATAAAATTACATTAAGTTGTATAGTCTTTGGGTATAGTTAATTTCAGTAAGTGAATTTTTTGTTGTGTGTTTGTTTGGAATGACTTTTAAAACAAAGTTAAAAAAAAATCAGAAGCAGAAAACTAAAGGCATCCAATGTCTCAGAATATAACGTTTCTAGAAAAAATAGTGTACATGACCACTGACCTGGGATATGTTTATTGGAGAATCAGCCATTTCTTTCTGTTTCTCGTCTTTGACTTTCTCTTTCAGGAACAATGAATAGATGGGTTGCTGCCCTTTCATATAAGAGATCAAAAAGAAAATGCAAAAATTAATACTAAAAACTGACAAAGAAAAATGTCAAACTGCATGAAAAGACACAAGGAGCAGAATTTCATCATGTGTCCAGTAAATGATTCCAAAGACAGGAGAACATGGAAATACATTTAAAGCCTGGAGGGAAAATCATCATCAACCATATTGTTGCAACCAGACAAATAGTCTCTAAAATTGATGGAGACATAAGTGCATTTCAAGATAGGCATGAATGAATACAACTCACTTCAATAAAGCAGCACAGCAGATATTAAATAGGAGGGAAAATATACAGAGGAGAATCAGAGGAATTATCCATTGGAACATGGTAAGTAATACATTTCATGTGAAGAATTGATAAGTAGAGGAGAAATGGGAGGCAAGCCACTAACTCTCATAGTAAAGAAACAATACTCTCAAATATTCAACCAGCAACTGCCGTGGAAAACTTTTGTACACTGTGAAGATTTGTCACTGTGATTGGTTTAATAAAGAAGCTGATTGGCTGAAAACTGGACAGGACAAGGCTAAGCGGAAAAATCAAACTGAGGATGCTTGGAAAAAGAAAGTTAGGAGAGCTGCCAACCCAGATGGAGAACTAGTTAGACACACAAAATGGGATGGAGGTAAAGGCCAAAAGTCTTGGGGCAGTACATGAATTAATAGAAATGGGTTAATTTGCAACAGTTAGTTAGTAATAAGTCTGAGCTATTAGCCAGGCATTTACAATTAATATAAGACTCTGAGTGATTACTTGAGAGCAGTTGTGGGACAGGGAAACTTCCGCTTAAAAGCAACATTAAAATCAAAACCATGCCGGGCGGTGGTGGCGCACGCCTTTAATCCCAGCACTCGGGAGGCAGAGCCAGGCGGATCTCTGTGAGTTCGAGGCCAGCCTGGGCTACCAAGTGAGTTCCAGGAAAGGCGCAAAGCTACACAGAGAAACCCTGTCTCGAAAAACCAAAAAAAAATAAAATAAAATAAAATCAAAACCATAAGAAATAAAATCCGATGAACAAAAATTCTAGCCACTCTAGAAATCAATACAGAGAATTTTAAACCAAATATACAAATCCTTAATTTAAACAAATCTAGCACATGAGCCAGCTGTACCATTCCTTGGCATATGCTCAAAGGACTTGACATCCTACTTACAGGTAGTTGCTCATTCTGGTCATTGCTGCTCTACTCACAATAGCTACAAAAGGGAAACAAGTCAAATGTCCTTCAACTGACAAATGGATAGTGAAAACATGGTACATTTATATTATAAAATATTATTCAGCTTCGAAGAAAATTGAAATCCTAAACTCTGTAGGTAAATGAATGGACCAAGGAAAGATCATATTGCGTGAGGTAACCCAAACCCAGAAAGACAGACATTGCTTGTTCTCGCTCATAGGAAGTTCCTAGCTCCAAATCTTCAGATTGGAGTACACAACCTGGAGTGAGTACAGTAACAAGTAAAATAAAAATAGACCACAGTGGGATATAGGGGACTAACAGAGAGGGAAGGAACAGGGAACAAGTGATCTAAAGGGAGAAATGGAAAAACAGGGAGAGTTTTAATGATAGAGAAGAAACAGATGTAAACACAGAAGGACAGTAAAATAACACTAAGAATATCTAAAAAGTCATAAGCAATCATACTATTGTCATCTACCATTAATGCCTATAACATAAGTCTGTGTATACAGTTAAGAGTTAGAGTATAAATGAAAGTTTCCCATCTGGGCTGATAATGGTCCTTACAGTGCCACAATTTTTTTTTTTTTAAATGAAACCACCAACACTAGGTGTAAGAAGCCTGCTTTGAAGTTGTTGGTTACAACTATCCTTGAGATTATCGAAACATTACAGGCTACTGCTGTTGCCCATACTTGCCTCCTAGAGGTAGAAGGTAAGTCCCTATTGTTGAAGAAGCCATGCATTTTGCACACTGATCCTAGAGGACTTGAGTAGATCAGAATTTAAAACTTCCTGTCTAGGGACTAACTTTCATAATACCAGAAGGCAACATTCAAGCTTCCCAAGGAGGGAGCCAGCGAACAGTCCTACCCAGCTATGACACCTATGAACCACAACAGTGATCTGCACTGCATGATAGCCCTAAGGGTGCAAGAGTGGCACACAGACCTTGGTGGTAACCAACAGCTTCTAACTGAATTTAAGACACTGTCAACAAGGGGCAAATCAGGCCTATTACTGGAAACCTAGCCAGTGTCCCCAGAGTTAGTGAAGTCAATAATCTTGGAGGAGAATCTAGAACTACTAATTTATTAAATCAGCATAATTCCTAACTGCATTCTAAATATTTTCTTATTCCCACAGATAAATGTAGTTTCTCACCCCTCACCAAGTAAAGCTATTTTAGCAACAAAGGGAGATTATTATAGAAAACCAAAATCAGTGAAAATGCAGAGTTGTGATGCTCAGTCCCAACCGACACAAACAACACAACTTCTTCACCTCAGGCTCAGGGATCACTGAGAACGAGGGGTGGGAACACTGTAACAGCCAGAGGAACAGGACATTTGCTGTGAGATTGTGTCTCCTAGAAATGTCAGAGAAGCTACACGCATGAAATCTTACAAACATGGCTGACTAAACATGAGTAGAACAAGGACAACACCAAGAGACATGCTGACATGGAAGGGAGAAACTAGGCCTTAACCTTAATCAAACACCAAGGGATTCTGAGAGCTGGAGAAATAGTCTTTCCCAGAGCAGTATGCACTATATGGTTACCCAATACCAAATGTTCATTCCTGAAAACATACAGACTGTGTAAGTTATATTTTTATGTTTAGGAATACATACAAACATAAAATGACAATAAAAGGAAAAGTTATTAAGAAATAAAAACTGCCTTGCAAAGTCAAGATTTTAGATCATCTGCATAAAAATGTGTATAAGGGCTTTATATCATTTTCTATTACTGCTACTCACATAAGTAAAACTTAATAGAGCTAGAGAGGTGGTTCATTGCGTATGGGCATCTGTTACTGTTTTAGAGACCCAGGTTCCATTCCCAGACCCCAGACAGTGGCTCCCATCTGTCCATAAATACAATTACAGACTGCACATGATATACAATCATACATGTAAGCAAAACAGTCTTGGCAAAACTGATTTCATGTTCTACATCCACATTCATTTGATCCCCTTTCCACGCCTTCACCAATCCCTCCAACATACCTAGACCCTTAGCTCCTGTCTCCTCTCTCCTTCCAGGCCACTTTGTTCTGCTGCACAGGTGAGCAGGTCTGGGTGATCAGTGAGCCCTGCACAAGAGAAAGAGATTCTTCAGAAAGCACCTGGATTTCTAACACAGGACTGTGCTCAGTAGATGAGGAGAAAATGAAACACAGGATTCTACAAATGACTCCCCCCCAGCTGTAACGCAGGGTCAGAATACTGAAAATATTTAGAAAGCATTTTCAGTTAGTGTCACTTGAATCCCACTTCCAAGCGCAGCTCAGTCAAATCTCAGGGGCAGAAATGTAAACGCATGACTGGGATGAGAATATCATACACTAGTGAGGTTCTGAATTTATCATGGACCAAAAGTGATGGAAGCCCTCGGAAAAGGACTCACAAGAAGAGAACATTTCATGACAACTTTCTTTGTTCCTCTGAGGATTTCGCTTTATTCTGTGAGGTGTGAAGACTCCTTCACACACCGCTCACACACATGCAGACTGGTTTTCCTAGGAACCCTGAGGAGGAGCAAGGGAGACTGCAAACAAACTGTTCTCACCCACAGAAACCAAACTGCTGCAATTCTGCAACATCCAGTCTCTGTACAAAGCCCTCAGAGCAGGGTCCGGGCATTGCCCCTCCTCCCGGGAGAAGTCCGTAGTCACACCACTGGCTGTCCACAGAGCACAAAGTAAAACACAACAGTCTGAATCGTCCTGTTGGTGCACACCTTTAATCCTAGCACTTGAGAGAAACAGGTGGGTGGATTCTGTTTTCCAGTCCAGCCTGGTCTACATGGTGAATTTTGGGGTCAACAGAGCAACACAGGTATTTTGAGTCTCAAACACAGCAAACACAAGAACCACAAACGAATAGTTTGGTCATGTGTCCACGGACAGAGTGCCTTTCTTGAACTGAGGAGAGAAAAGACTATTGCAGACGTTTTCTGATGTAGATGAGTGATCATAATTATTCAAAATATGCCTCCTAATATCATCTTATACTATAATGCTTTTTCTTTGCTTCGAGAGAGGGTTTCTCTACGTAGTATAATCCCACTGAAGGAGAGTAAAGACCATCACTCAAATTTTTTGATCCAGTTAAGCAAGCTTTATTTCTGTCAGACAGATCTATATCCCTAATGTGGGGTTTGAAAATATAGTATTGAATAAAGGAGAAAGTGGGGCTTATATATCCCCCAAAACTGCAGAGCTAGGGGGTTTTTGAGGTTTGGTGGATTTCCAGAAGAATTTTGGTTAATTAGGAACTTTGGTGAACATTTTAAATTTATTTGGCAGAACATCTTATCAGGGTATGTTCAAGCTGTGAGTCAAACCCCATAGGGTGGGGAGCATGTCAAATTCCAGAAACAGGTTAAAGCACGGTCAACTTGAATTTGGCAGCAAACAGAAACGAACTTGTTCTGACCTTGTAACAAAATGGCTTCCATCCTTAAGGTGGAGCCAGGCTGGTCCATCATTAGCCCTGGCTGTCCTGAAATTCACTCTGTAGACCAGGCTGGCATCAAACTCAGAGGTCCACCTGCCTCTGCCTCTGGGGGTGCTGAGATTAAAGGTGTGTGCCACCACCACCTGGCTCAGAATGCCTTTTCTAACTGAAAACGCTGTGACCTGACACCCTCAAACAATATACTGTGCTTTCCAGACTCCAAAGTGCAACACTAAGAACTCAGCACAAGAGGACACATTTCCCTTTTCCTTTCTTTCTTTCCTCTTTTTTTTTTTTTTTTTCTGTTGTTGTTTGCTTTTTTCTTTGTTTGGGACAGAGTATCTCACCATGTAGGAATGGGTGTCCTAGAACTCATTATGCTGGTCTCAAACACAGGGATTCACCTGCCCCTGCCCCTGGAGTGGTAGGATTCAAGGCCTGTGCCACGAGATCTGGCTAAGACACTTTTCAGAATGCCATATTTACACCACAGAGTACATATGTCTCAGATGGAAGAATAATGGTGTACAAAAAGTTTACTTTCAAGTGTTAGCGTTTACAAACCATACATGTAAAACTAGCAAAAATATATTTTTTATGCGATTAAATCTGCAAAAATTCCTTTCATGTCTAATACCTAAAAGTTCTCCCATGATGCTAAATCCCCAAGTCCCCAGGTATAACAAGGAAGCTAGTGTGGATGAATGTAAATTTGAAGAGTTTTGACTTTTCCACCAAAGAGAACCGTGTTTGCAAATATCAACAGATAAATTCAGACTTTCTACTAGAGTAGTTTTATAAGAATATTTTGGAAACCAGAGGATCTATGAAAAAGAAAAAAAATAGGATTAGTCTAGTTCAAATGATCTAACATTTACAGACAAGAAAAGACATCCACAGCAATGTTTCACAGCCGGCTTCCTTATGAACAGCGACTGATTGCTGTAAGGTAAAAGGACCAGTGAAAGAAACCCACCGTGGTCCTGAAACCGGAGCCAGTGAAAGAAACACACTTTAGCCCTGAAACTAGAACAAAAAAACATACTCTGACTCTGAACCCAGAGCCAAAGAAACACACTTTGGCCCTGCAACCAGAGCTAAATCTGCCCCTTGACCAACTGAGAACAAAACCAACCAATCCCTGAGCATGAAAACCAACCATTCCCTGAGCAGAAAACCAACCAATCCCTGAGCAGAAAACCAACCAATCCCTGAGCATGAAATCTAGCCAATCTGAGCTTGTTCAAACTCAAAGTGATTGAAATCCGACCAATTCCTAACCTGAAAATCTTCTCCCTGGAAAAACTCCGCCCCTAAGAAGCCTAATATAAACTGTGAATCTATTCAGTTTGGTGCTGCCTTTTCCCCCTCCAGCAGAGGCAGCTACTCTTCTGCATTCTTCCTTCCTAATAAATCTCTTGAATGAGGTTTGGGTGAGGAACTTCTTTTGCTGAGCAGAGACCCGGCCTGGGCAGTGGAGCAGAGCACACTTTCGCTGGCGAAACTTTTCCCTGGAGCAGGACTTACAGTGACTTGTGGTATTCCTTGGCTCCCGACTGCCGGGATCCCTTTCCATTCGAGCAGCAACCAGGAACGCCAAGCTATGGTTCCCGCCACTGCGCTGCTGACTGGTGACTTTCCCAGGCCGCCCCGCGCGGAGACTGCGGCTCCGGGGAGGTTTTGTGTCCCCGCGACTCCCCGCCGTGTCCTCCGCTCCCAGGTCTGCACCACGGGACTCCCCACCGTGCAGGGCCCGGTGCAACGACAGAGAATGAACACTTGACACTTCTGCCTTTGCCTCCTCAGTCCAACTCCTCCCCGCTCTCCCACGAGGTTTCCCAGCTTCCGCTTACGTCACTCCCTAATCCCACCCACACTCCACTCTTCTACTCCCAGCCAATACGCCACATCCTCCCAGCCGCTGTTTCCCGTTGTGTGTCCCCGCCTCTGTGAGCCCGGTCCCTCCCACTAGGTCTCAGGCTGCCCTGGACCCGCTCTGCACAGCCTCCCCACATGCTCGCTGCCAGCCTGGACCAGAACTGGATCTAGGAGGACGCTGCACCCTGGTATCTGAGCCCTACAGTGAGTTCTGAAATCTTCAGACAAAAGACAGGCCGCCTAACCCTGACTTGATTACCAGATTCCTGGGCTACATACATACCTACACAAACGATAACAGGCTACATTCAAATGTCAGCGTCCCACCCACAACACAAACAAGGCAAGTAAAAACAAAATTCTGCAATTGTGCCTTGGGGGAGACATTTCAGGAACTTTGAATATGAATAGAAATAGGTGTCTCCAGAAGTCAGTGGGCAGAGTTCATGCCTAGTTGTACTGCTGTCACCACTAGATGATGGTCTTGTTATTTGACTAACTCAAACAAGTTCTTTTTAGCCTCCAAAGGCAGGAAGCATACATATAATGTATAAACACACATGCAGTCAAAATATCTATAGACATTTCTGTTCAAAAGCTTTTCACAAGTTACATTTGCAGATTTTTATTTTAATGTAAATACTGTGGTACTTTTTTAAGATTTGAACATTCTCTAAAGGCTTTCACTAGTTTCTTTGTTTCTATTTTGTACACTGTTGTGATTTGTTAGCAGAGAATACCAGATAAATGCTACATCACATTGTTTATAATGGCATTTTTCTCTCTGGTGTGAATTTTCTGATGAGCTCGAAGAGTTGAGGACTTAGTAAAAGATTCACCACATTCCTTACATATGTGAGGTCTCTCTCCAGTATGAACTCTGTAATGTGTTCTAAGATTTGAACGCTGGATGAAGGATTTGTCACAGTCTTTGCATTTGTAAGGTTTCTCTCCAGTATGAATTTTCTGATGTACTCTAAGATATGAGCTTCGAGTAAAAGATTTGTCACATTCCTTACAGAAGTAATGTCTCACTTCAGAATGAACTTTCTGATGTTTTCTCAGATTTGAATACTGGGTAAAGGATATGCCGCAATCTTTGCATTTGTAAGTTTTCTCTCCAGTATGAATTTTCTGATGTTCTTTAAGAGTTGAGCACTTAGAAAAAGATTTGTCACATTCCTTACAACTGTAAGGTTTCTCTCCAGTATGAACTCTCTGATGTCTTCTAAGATGTGAGTCCTGGGTAAAAGATTTGTCACATTGCATACATTTGTATGGTTTCTCTCCAGTATGAATTTTCTGGTGTGTTCTAAGAGTTGAGGTTGTAGTAAACGATTTGTTACATACCTCACATTTGTAAGGTTTCTCACCAGTATGGATTCTGTGATGTGTTTTAAGATGTGACAATTCAAGAAAGGACTTACCACATTCTTTGCATTTGTATAGTTTCTCTAGAGAATGAATTTTCTGATGCCTTCTAAGTGATGAGTAGTGTCTACAGGATTTGTCACACTCATTGCATTTGTAAAGCTTCTCTCCAGCATGCCTTTTGTCCGTATGCATTTTCTGATGGCTATGAAGTGCTGACAACTGAGGAAATGACTTTTCACATTTTTTGCATTTGTAAGGTTTCTCTCCAGTATGGAGTCTTTGATGTGTTTTAAGACTTGAGCACTGAGTAAAGGATTTGTCACAAACATTGCACTTATAGGGTTTCTTTCCAGTATGAATTCTCTGATGCTTTGTAAGAGTTGACTTCACAGTAAAGGATTTTTTACATTCCTTACATTTGTAAGGCTTCTCTCCAGTATGCATTTTCTGATGGTTTTTAAGTGCTGATAACTGACGAAATGACTTTCCACACTCCTTGCATATGTAAGGTTTCTCCCCAGTATGAAGTCTTTGATGTGTTTTCAGATTTGCACACTGGTTAAAGGATTTGTCACAAATGTTGCATTTGTAGGGTTTCTTTCCAGTATGAATTCTCTGATGTACAGTGAGGCTTGAGGCAGTACTGAAGCATTTCCCACATTTCCCACACTGGTGTGGTTTTGCTCCAATGTAGATTGTTTGTTGTAAAAGACTGTGTGTAGAGCTGAAATAGTCATTGTGTTCCTCCTGTCTATGCCCTTTCTTTGCAGTGTAGAATCTCTGATCTTGAGTCATGTTGGAAAACAAAGTTAAAGATTTTTCACAGCCTTCAGATTTGCAAGGTTCTTCTCCAATATGCATGCTTTCATGTCTCTCTGGGATGGAGTCAATAGAGGCATCCCTGTGATTACTGCATGTGTAGTTATTAGAGATTTCTGTAGTTTGACTTGTTCTATAAAGTGCATATATGGAGGGGTCATGAAGCACTTTGACAAGTGCATTCCACTGACAAGACTCCTTTTCAGTCTTCACATCTTGATGGACAGGATCACATTTGCAATAGTTCTCTGAAAATGAGTACAGTTCAGATTAACTGGCTTGTTCCAAGATTAAACATTTGATAAATGATTGTCTCTGTAAGTTTTCTCTTAAGGGAAGTCAAACAGCAACTATTTAGAATAGAGCTCCCAGTATTTGACATATTCTTTCACTATAATTATGTGTAATCTTACAAAAAAACAGGATGACAACCTTCATGGAAGATAAAGCAATATTTGAGAAATCTGTAGTTAGTCCTTGGGATGGAGCTCACTGACTGATTATAATTAGAATACATGTCTCTATTTTTAAATATTTATTTCCTCAGATATTGATGAAGAGGAGTTTAATCCAATTCCAGGTTCACAGTGTTCGTACTTCCTAATGTACAGCAATGAGGAGTACTGTTCAGAAGTCCTCTTCAGATTAAAGGCTTACTCAAAAGCATCAAAGGGTTTTTCTCTCTAGAAAACACATTAGATTCTTCAAAAGTAATCGATACAAAGACAGTATTCTGCCAGACATCAGAAACTCTAGGTCATTTGAGGCAGGGCTGTCATAGGCACCTATTGCTTATTTCTATCCTCCACTGTCTGAGCTCCACACACTGCTGTGTTCCTTAACTTTCCTCACAGGGTTATTCTCAAGTCCACCTCTGTACACGGACTGCTGAGATTATTTCCCAGAAGGGTGTCTGTGTATTCTCCACTGGAACGAAACTGAAACATGTAATATGAAGACAAACATGCAAAGAAGGCAATTACAGAATAATTTTCCTCATGGACTAACATTAGAATTTATAAAATTATTCCAATTTGATGTCAGCACATTCAAATAAAATTACATTCTGCACTAGTATTAAGTTACCATAGTTCAAGTGCAATAGATACCACACCTTCTAACAGTCACAACAGACAGGATTCGCCCTGGCACCAGGACACTACTTTACGCTCAGTGTTCAGGAATCCTTTCAAGTGGAATTGAATATTGCAAGTGCGTTCTCAGCTCTTGCTTTCTCTTTCGCTAAAAGCCAACACTGTTGTCCCACTCATTCGCTGTCCTACCCTGGTGGCTATCTCTCCTATCCACATTCCAGGGCAATCTCATTTGCTCTGGACAGGTGACCAGGCCTACATTACACAGAATAATCCACATGTCCTATGAGGTAGCCCAGGACCTATGGCAGAATTTTAAATAAGAATACATTTAACACAGTACTGGGCTCAGTACATGAAGAGAACACAAAGTAGAGGGAATAGGAATGATTTCCCAATTGCTATTCCCTAACAGAATCTTTGGCGTATATATGGAGAATTTTAAGTTGTGAGTATTTTTAATTGTGAGTATTTCTCACAATTAAAACAATGTAAAATGCAATGATGGACATAGAGCGTTAAGATATGGCTGGAACCTGCTACAAAACCTGTGACCTACAATCTCTCTTGCTAAAAGATATGCTAAGGTAATATGGGTTTAGAAATTGTAGAAGTAGACAACAAATGTTTTATTTGACTTAAGGCCCAATCTACAAGACAAACCCATACTGTAAACTGCTTGGGTAACTGAGGGCAGAAACTAGATAGCACAGAGACCTAGGGTAATATCAAAAACTACTGATCTAAAAAAAAGTATCAATAAAATGAGTCTTAATGATATTCTGCTATACTCATAGATAATTGTCTTATTCAGTCATCATCAAAGAAGTTTTCTCTAGCAGCTGATGGGAACAGATGCAGAGAGCCACAGCTAGACGTATGTGGAGAGAGAGTCTACATGAGTCCATCAAATCCCTCCCCTCAGGGCTTAAGGAACCATATAGAAGAGACAAAGAGTATAAGAGCCAGAGGGGAAGGAAGACACTGGCATTACAAGACCCTCATGTAGTGGGTAGCTGTTCCAGCTTTCACCTGGAAGTACTACCCCTAGTGAGGCTTCTGGTAATTGCCACACCTACCTATGACCCACCCCTGGGGCGGGGCCAAGACATGAGCTCTTAAGACCCAAGAGTTTAAGACTTAAGCTCTTAAGACCCAAGGGCCGGGCCTCTTGGTTCCTGGTGATCCTGGATGCTGGATGGAAGACCGAGTCAGAGTTCTCCAGAGAACCCCGTTGGACTGCACCTCACCTCTCCCGGATCCTGTAACCAACCCCTTTACTGGCTGTAAGTTACCCCAAAATAAACAACCTTTTTAACTATGTGGAGTTGCCTTGTTAAATCCCCACATTACTCTCACATCAATTAAGCCAAGTGCAAGTGAACTCACAGAGACTGGATAGCAGGCACAGGGCCTACATGGGTCTGCAACAGACCCTCTACATAGGTGTTGTAGCTTTAAGCTTAGTATTATCATGGGATGTCTGAGTATGAGATTGAATGGGTCTCTGATGCTCGTGCTTGCTCTTAGGACTCTTTTCCTTCTGCTGGGTCACCGTGTCCAGCTTCAATATGATGGTTTTTGCTTTATCTTACTATATTTTATTTTGTCATGCTTGGTTGTTGTCTCTTAGAAGGCTGTTTTTTTCTAATGAGACAGAAAAGGAGTGGAAATTGAGGGGATGGGATATGAGGAGGAAGTTGAAGTTGTAGGGAAAGTATAGTCAGGATATACTGTATGTGGTGGTTTGAAAAAAAATGGCCCCCATAGGGAGTGTCACTATTAGGATATGTTGCCTTGTTGGAGGAAGTGTGTCACTATGGGTCAGGCATTGAAGTCTCATATATGCTCAAGCCATACTGAGTGAGACAGTGCACTTCCTGTTGTCTGCAATGTGTAGAATTCTCAGCCACATGCATGCCTGCATGCCGCCATATTCACAGCCGACACGGTTCCTGGCCATGATGATAATGGATTAAACCTCTGAAACTATAAGTCAACACCTCAATTAAATGTTTTTCTTTATAAAAGTTGCCATGATCATGTTGTCTCTTCACAGAAATAGAAACCCTAATTAAGACAGAAGTTTGGTACCAGCAGTGGGGTTTTCTTGCAATAGGCCTGATCATGTTTTTGTTTGGAGGAATTTGGACTTTGGTACTCTGGGTTTGAAAAGCAGTTGAAAGTTTTAAGCACTGCTTAATGGGCCATAGTAGCAGGAGCATGGTGCTGATGAAATATGGGGAGCTGACTCAAGAGGTTTCAGAGGAGAATTTTTGTATGTTGCCTAGAGATCATTCTTGTGATATTTTGGTGAACAGAGTGGTTGCTTTTTGCCTTTGTCCACAGAACCTACCTGTGTGATACCTCAGTAAACCACCCCCCGACTCTATCCCCTACAGAGAAAGAGAAGCTTAAACCAGGATTCCTAAGTGTAGGTAAGAACTTAGACCCCTTTTTCCCAGGTGGCTGTATCTGCTACAGGGATTTTGAAAAACACAGAGTCAGGATATTCGACCAAAAGACTAAAAAAGGGAGGTGGGTTGAAATGAATTATATGGCCTGTGCCTTTAAGAACTAGCCTCACAAAGAAAGGGGAGTGTGAGAGATTTGGAACGGGTCTCCCTTCCGAGCCTCCCTGCCTAGGCTTGTAAACTTAGAATACACCTTGCTTTTGCATTCTGTACCTAAAGTCTCCAGTGGCAGCTTTGGGGACTCAATCTGCGCATAACACAGACCAGTTTGGGCTATAGAGATCCTGTCTCAAAACCAAATGGGATGGGAATATGGTGACACACGCCTTTAATCTCAGCACTGGAGATAAAAGACCCAGACACAGATTCCCCAGAAACCCAAAAGAGCTGAGGAAAGAGATATCTTAAAAATGAGTCAGTTCCCCCTTCCTGGAGAGGGTGAAGACAGGTGTTTTCAAAAGAACCAAGTCAGGATGTCTGGTGGTAACCAATTAACCACGAGATGCCCCTCTCCAGAGATAACATGACCAGACCCCGGAGATGAGTTGTAAAACTCCTGACAGGGCAAACAGATAAGCTAAAACAAGACAAAGTCCAGGCCCGGGAAAAACTGGACCAATCAAGGATGGACCTGTACTAACCCCGTCCCCTCTAAGAAATTTTATGGGTTTTGCCTATAAAAACTAACTTCTCCAAGAAAGAGTAACTCCTCCCTGCCTCACTGCCAGTGAGTTGAGTTCCCTGTCATGACTTGTAGCAGAATAAACCTTGCTTTTGCATTCTGGTATGCTCGTCCTTGGTGGTCTCTCTGGGGGTCACGATCTGGGCACAACACCTGAGGCTAAAGTGAAGAGTTTTGGAAGAATTCCATTGGTAGAGAAAATCTCAAAACAGCCTAGTATAGACTGCTGTGTGGTTATTAGTATTAACTCTAACGAAGATTTATAATGAAACGGAGAAAGAAAAAGTAAAATTTGAGGGGATAAGGAGCACCAGGAAGTGCAATGGAGCCAAGTCCTAGTTTCAGGGAGATAAACAGATTAAGAAATTGAATAAAGGGAGTGGTGACATCAGGGCAAGATCTCACTTAGCTAAGTTTCCAACCTGTAAAAAGGAACTGAAGAAAAGTTTAGAGCCAGGTGTAGTAGTGCACCCCTTTAATCAGAGCAGTAGGAAGTCAGAGACTGGTAGATCTCTGAGTTTGAGGCCCCCTGGTCTACAGAGAAAATTGCCAAAGAGCCAAGCTTAGGCAGTGAAAAAAGAAATCAAAAACTGAAAGTTGGTGAAGATGTGATTGAACAAAGGGTCCATGTTCCAGCCCCAGCAAGCCGCAGAACTTGGCAGCTTCTTGCTTGTGGTTCTGAAGTTAAGCACAGAAGAAACAGGCTATGGAATCTGCCCCCAAGACTAAGGAAAGCTGCTGAGGCCAGGCATTTGTCAGGGGTGTCCCTGAACTGAGGCCCAGAGAGACCATTGCTTTAAAGTGTAAAGTTGAAGCCTGGATTGCCTTGGAGAACCCAGGTTGTTAGAGATGCCAGAGCTGTGGGATACCTGCTGAAGAAAGCTGCTAACAGGGAGTGGAACCAGCCTAAGAGAAAGAAGTATGTTGCCATCAACAAAGCTGAAAGGAGTTGGAGATCTGAAGAGTGTTTTGACATCAGACATGGAGATGCAGAGTATGGAGTTTGCCCAGCTAGTTTTTGGTCTTGCTTTGGTCTAGTATTTCTTTGCTATGCTCTCCTCCCTATATTTTGGAATGGTAATGTATATCCTGTGCCATTACATGTTGGAGTATATGACATGATTTTTTTTTACTTTGATTTTATAAGGGATTACAGTTAAGAGATTACAGTAATCTCAGAAGTAACTTTGAACTTTAGACTTTTAAATAAATTTGAGACTGTTACACATTACGGACACTTTTGAAATTGGACTGAATCCATTTTTGAATTATGATATGGCTACAAGACTGTGGGGGCCAGAGAGTGAAATGTGGTGGTATGAAAAAATAATGACCCCATAGAGAGTGATGCTTTTAGGAGGTATGGCCTTGTTGGAGTGGGTGTGGCTTTGCTGGAGAAAGTCTGTCACTATGGGACTGGCTTTGAGGTCTCATATATGCTCAAGCCACACCCAGTGAGACAGTTTATTTTCTGTTGCCTGCAAGATATAGAATTCTCAGTTACTCTCCAGCATCATGCAAGTGTGCATGCCACCATATTCATAGCCTACATGATTCCCAGCCATGATAATAATGGACTAAACCTCTGAAACTCAATTAAACGTTTTTCTTTATAAGAGTTGCCGTGGTCATGGTGTCTCTTAACAACAATAGAAACCCTAATGAAGACATTGTATAAGGAAAGAATCTATTTCAATAAAAGAAAAATATGAAAAAGAAGATATAGGTGGAAATATTATATACTACTGAGTTTCTGAATGCATCTTAGAACCAAACTGAAGGGTGCATGACATCTCTAAAATGGAAAATGGAAAGAAAACAACAAATATGAAAAAAAAAGTTCTTTTTCTACTACCAAATGTTCCCTAGTCTCCTGTTGTTTCCAAGACAGCTTAACAGAGAGTTTGCAAACCTATGAAGTAGGTACATATAAACCCTGAGTTAGCAATTCTACAAGCAAAATGTACTCACCCACAGAGACCAGGTTGCTGTAATTCTCCAACATCACATCAATGTACAAAGACCGCTGAGCAGAGTCCAGGCATTCCCACTCCTCTTTCGAGAAGTCCACAGATACATCCCTTAATGTCAACAGACCCTGAAACAAAAAAGTACAGTTTGACCACATGATACTGAGAAGAGTGCTTTCCTGGTATAAGGTGACTTATGGAAGTCAGGGATGTAGATGATTGAAGACAGTTACACAAAAAAATGATTTCTAACATAGTTACATTATATAATGGATTCTCTAACTGTGAAAACAGGTTGACACAATCGTCTCATAAGCAATACACATAAAGCAAGACACACATTTAAGGTCCGGATATGGATATCTATCTGTTATGGATGCTGTGCTTATGTTCCACAGGATCACAGCAGACATGTCTCAGAATGAAAATCTGTGATGGGAAAATGTGATTTCAAATGCTGTACTTGTAGATCATGCTACAATGAATCAAAAAACATTTTTAAAAGCAGAAACACAGAAACCTAGAAAACATAGGGAATGCCTTTCAGGAAACAGGATGGGGAAGAATTTTTTGAATAGCAAAATCTCCAACAGCATAAGAACTAATCCCAAGTATCAATACATGAATATAAAACGTTTCTGTTTATCAAAAGAAAGAATCGGCAGAGCACACAGACATCCCACAGAGTGGGAGAGAATTTGTACCAGTGACACTTTGAATAGCAGCTCACACCTAGAATTTACAAACAATTTCAGAAATTAAAAACCATGGAAATAAAGCTGCTAATCAACAAATGGGCAAATGAGCTGAATAGACACTTTGTGAAGACAGAAACACAAATGGCCAATAAATATGGCAAAAAGTGTTTATAATCCCTAAAATGCCATCATGGAAATGCAAACTAAAACTACTTTGAGATATAGCTGTCATCAACCAATCTGACAACAAATGTTAGAGAGGATGAAGAGAGAAAGATACCATTGTTCACTGTTGGTGTGTGTGTGTGTGTGTGTGTGTGTGTGTGTGTATTGCAAATTAATACAACCATTGTGGAAATCAGTTTGGAGATTATTTAAAATGTTAAAGGTAGTACTAATGTATGAACAGCTCTTTCACTCCTGGACATATACCCAGGGACCTCCACACCCCAATACAGAGATATTTATACCCTGTATTTACTGCTACTATATTTACCACAGTAAAATACTAGACTCGCCGGGGGTGGTGGCGCACGCCTTTAATCCCAGCACTCGGGAGGCAGAGGCAGGCGGATCTTTGTGAGTTCGAGGCCAGCCTGGGCTACAGAGCGAGATCCAGGAAAGGCACAAAGCTGCACAGAAGAAACCCTGTCTCGAAAAACCAAAAAAAAAAAAAAAAAAAAAAAAATTCTAGACTCAACCTAATCATCTATCAACAGATGAATGGATAATGAAAATGGTATACAAATAAAATGGAATACTATTCACTTGAAGAGGAAAATATAATAAAAATTTGCAAGAAAATGAATAGACTCAGAATATGTAATGAGGTCATACAGTGTCAGAAAGAAAGAAACTGTTTTCCCTCATATGCAGAATCAAACAATGTATATGTGAGAACAGAAGAACATGGAGAAAAAAGAATAAGAAAGGCTAAATATTAGGGGTTGAGGCAGGACTGAATGCAGGTAATGAACACCAGTTATGAAAAAGGATATAAAACTAATTGCTTTTCTTTCTTTCTTTTCTTTTTTTTTTTCTTTTTCTTTTTTTTTTTTTTTGAGATAGGGTTTCTCTGTGTAGCTTTGGTGCCTGTCCTGGATCTTGCTCTATAGACCAGGCTGGCCTCGAACTCACAGAGATCCGCCTGGCTCTGTCTCCTGAATGTGGGATTAAAGTCATGCACCACCACCACCCAGCAACTAATTGCTTTTCTAGTTCTAATTCTGTCACTGTTTTTTTTTTTTTAATTTTTTTTTTTTTTTTTTTTTTTTTTTTTTTGGTTTTTCAAGACAGGGTTTCTCTGTGTAGCTTTGCGCCTTTCCTGGAACTCACTTGGTAGTCCAGGCTGGCCTCGAACTCACAGAGATCCGCCTGGCTCTGCCTCCCGAGTGCTGGGATTAAAGGCGTGCGCCACCACCGCCCGGCTTAATTTTTTTTTATTTTGGGTGGTATATAATTACAACAAAATATATTTGATAGTGAAAATATAAAATCCCATGTGGGGCTGCACAGCTTCTGTTCCCAATAACTACTCCAACTGTATAAAAGTACATTGAGTTGTATACATTTTATGTCTGCTTAATTTCAAAACATGAATTTTTTGTTGTTTGTTTGTTTGCAACATTTTTTACAACAAAGTTTAAAAACATCAGAAGTAGAAAATTAAATGCTTTCAATGTCTAAAAATATAACATTTCTAGAAAAATAGTAGACATGACCACTGACCTGGGACATACTTACTAGAGAATCAGCCATTTCTTCCTCTTTCTCTTCTTTGAGTGTCTCTTTCAGGAACAATGAATGGATGGCTTGCTGCCCTTTCATATAAGAAGTCAAAAAGAAAAAGCAAAAATTAATACTAAAAGCTGTTAACAATGTCAAACCACATGAAAAGACACAAGCAACAGAATTCACCAGGTATCTGGTCAATGATTCCAAAGCCAGGAGAGCATGGAAACACATTTAAAGCTTGAAGAGAAAATTACCATCAATAGTATTATTATAACTAGAAAAATATTCTTAAAATTGATGGAGACATAAGTGTATTTCAGGATAGTCTCGAATTAACACAATTGATTTAACTAAAACTGCATAACATATATTAATTTTGAGAAAAAATATACTCAGAAAATAAGAGAAATTATCCATTAGAACATGAGAAGTAATACATTTCATGTGAACAATAGATAAATAGTGGAGAAATGGGAAGTAATCATCCATTAGCAAGATAGCAAAACACTATTTCTCAAAGATAAGAAAGAATGCTACCAATAACACACCCAGCAACAACATAAAAAAAAAAAAAAACATAGGGAACAAAAACCCTATCAACAAAAATTCTAGCCACTCTGGAAATCAATATGGAGTATCCTCAATTAAATAATAAAAAAAAAATCCTCAAGTTAAATAAATCTAGCATATGACCCAGCTGTTCCACTCCTTGGTATATGCTCAAAGGACTTGGTTTCCTATTCCATAGACACTTGCTCAGCCATGTTCATTGCTGCTCTAATCACAATAGTTACAAAATGGAAACAACCTAAACGTCCTTCAGCTGACAATTGGATAGTGAAGATGTGGTACATATAATCTATGGAATATGATTCAGTTGTAAAGAAAATTGAAATCATGAGCTTTGCAGGTAAATGGATGAACCTAGAAAGGATCATATTGAGTGAGGTAACCTGGATGCAGAAAGACAGACATTGCATGATCTCTCTCATAGGAAGTTCCTAGCTCCAAATCTTCAGATGTGAGTCCACAACCTGGAGAAACTGCAGCAACAAGAAAAGTAAGAAGAGATCACTGGGGGTGATGGGGAGTAATAGAAATGGAGTAACGGAACAAGTGATCCGAAAGGGGAAATGGGAAAGCAGGGAGGGATTTAATTATGGAGAAGGGACAGATATAAACACAGAATGAGGGTAAAATATCAGTAAGGATGGCTAAAAAGTCATAAGGAGTCATACTATTATCATCTACCAAAAAATGCCTATAATGCATATAAGTCTGTATAAGCACATAGGTTTGGTGTGTACATGAAAAGTTCTCATCTGGGTGATAATTCTCCTCACAAGAGCCATAGGTTTTCTAACAAAACCACCAACACCAGGTGTAAGAAGCCTGCTTTGACGTTGTTTGTAACAGCTGCCCAACACATTCCAGTAACAGTCCAGGCGATTGCTGTTGCCCACGGTGGCTTTCCAGAGGCAGAAGGTAAGTCCCTGTTGTTGAAGAAGCCATGCACTTCAGACTCAAAACCCAGAGAACTCCACATGGATATGACCTTAAAGCCTCCTCCCTGGGGACTAGCTTTCACGGTACCAGAAGGCAACATGCAATCTTCCAAAGGAGGGAGCTAGTCAACAGACCTACCCAGCTATGACACCTATGAACCACACCAATGATCTGCACTGCATGATAGCCCTAAGGGTGTAAGAGTGTCACACAGACCTTGGTGGTAACCAACAGCTTCTATTTGCATTAAGACCCTCTCAAAAAGGGGGAAATCATGCCTGGTACTTGAAACTTAGCCTGTTTCCCCAGGGTTAGTTAGTGAAGTCAAGGATCCTGGAGGAGAGCCTACAACCACTACTTTACTAAATCATCCTAATCCCTAACTGCATTCTAAATATTTACCATTATTCTCACGGATAAATGTAGTCCTCACACTTCATCAAGGAAAGTTATTTTAGCAGCACACAGTTGTGATGCTCAGTCATAACTGACACATAAACAACACAACTCCTGCACCTCATGCTCAAGGATATGTAAGAAAGAGGGAATGGGAACATTATAAGAGCCAGAGGAACAGGATATTTGCTGAGATTGTTTCTCCTAGAAATGTCAGAGATGCTATATGCATAAAATTGTACAAACACGACATCCTAAACATGAGCAGAACAAGGACAACACCAAGAGACTTGCTAATATGGAAGGGAGAAAGCTCACTAGGCCTGAACTCTAGGTAAACACTAAGGAATTCTGAGAGCTGGAGAAATACTCTTTCCCAGAGCAGAGTACACCATATGGTTATCCAATACCATGAAAGCATACAGACTGAGTAGGTTGTATTTTTATGTTTAGGAATATACACAAACATACAACAACAATGGAAGAAAAAGTTATTAAGAAATAAAAGCTGCCTGTGCAAGTCAATATTTTAGATCATCTATATAAACAGTGTTTATAAGGGCTTTATGTTATTGCTATTCACTTAAGTAAAACTTAGTAGGGCTAGAGAGATGGTTCAATGGGTATGAGTGTCTATTACTGTTTTAGAGACCCAAATTCCATTTCCAGACCGCAGACAGTGGCTCCCATCTGTCCATAAATACAATACTAGACTGCATATGATATACAGTAATACACACAAGCAAAATACTCACGGCAAAACTGATTTCATGTCCCACTTCCACATTCACTTGAACCCCTTGCCATCCCTTCACCAATCCCTCCAACAAACCTGGATCCTTAGCCACTGTCTCCTCCCTCTCCATCCTCCAGGTCTCTTTGTTCTGCTCCACAGGTGAGAAGGTCTGGCTGATCAGTGAACTCTGCATGTGAAAAAGACTGTACAGTAAAGCAACTGGATTTCAAACACAGTAATGTACTCAGCAGATAGAGGATTCACAAATGAGTCCCCAAATGTCTTGCAAGGTCAGAATACTGAAATCATTTAGAAAGCATTTTCAGTTAGTGTAACTTGAGTCCCACTTCCATTCACAATTCAGTCAAATCTCAGGGAGAAACGGAACTGAATGACTGGGACGAGAATATTGTACACCGGTGAGGTTATTAATTTATCATGGACCAAAAATGATGGAAGCCTTATTCCTCCCAAAGGGACACATACAAGAAGAGATGACATTTCTTTTTTGTTCCTCTGAGGATCCACTTTACTCTGTGAGATGTGAGATTGGTTCACACACAGGTCACACACATGCAGAGTAGTTTTCCTAGGAACCCTGAGCAGGCACAAGGGAGACCGCAAGCAAACTGTTTTCACCTACAGGAAACAAACTGCTGGGATTCTGCAGTATTCAGTGTCTGTACCAAGACCTCAGGGCAGGGTCCAGGCATTGACCCTCCTCCTGGGAGAAGTTCACAGTCGCATCACTGGCTGTTAACAGACCACAAAATAAAAAAAAAAAAAAAAAAAAAAGGGCTGGAGAGATGGCTCAGAGGTTAAGAGCACTGACTGCTCTTCCAAAGGTCCTGAGTTCAATTCCCAGCAACCACATGGTGGCTCACAACCATCTGTAATGAGATCTGGTGCCCTCTTCTGGCCTGCAGTCATACATGCTGTATACGTAATAAATAAATAAATCTTTAAAAAAAAAAAAAAAAAAACAAACAGTTTGAATCATCCTGTTGGTGCGAACCTTTAATCCTAGCACTTGGGAGAAACAAGCTGGTGGAACTCTGTGTTTTCCAGTCCAGCCTGGTCTACATGTGAGTTGTGTGCCTGACAGAGAAACAGTGATTTCAGGTGGCAAACACAGCAAACACAAGAACCAAAAACTAACAGTTTGGTCATGTGTTGTTGTACGAATCCTGAAAGGTCCTATGATAAAAAACCCTGAGCCAGATATTAGGGTGAAAGCTGAAAGATCAGAGAAGCAGATCAAGCCACAGCGAACCTCACCTCGCTAACTCCTCAGCTGATCCTGTTTCCAGGAATCCTCAGACTGAAAGCCTCTGAGTCTTCACCCAAAAGGCCTCGGTCAAAAGGAGCCTTTAGTTCCCATTTCCTCACGCCTTATATACCTTTCTCCACCCTGGCGTATTACTTCCTGGAATTAAAGGCATGTGTGCTTCCCAAGCAAAAGCATGAGATCTCAAGTGCTGGGATTAATGGTGTGTGCCACCACCATCTGGCTCTGTTTTCTCTCCTGTACTGGATCAATCTCATGTATCCCAGTGTGGCCTTGAACTCACAGAGATCCAGAAGGATCTCTGCCTCCTGAGTGAAAGGATTAAAGGTGTGTGCCACCACTGCCTGACCTCTATGTCTAATCTAGTGGCTGACTCTGTCCTCTGATCCTCAGGCAAGTTTATTAGGGTTCACAATATATCACCACAATGTGTCCATGGGCAGAGTGCTTGTCTTGAACCGAGGAGACACAAGACTATCGCAGACATTTTTCTGATATAGATGAGTGATTATAATTATTCGAAAGATGCTTTCTAATATCATCCTATACTATAAAGCCTTTTATTCTTTTGAGATGGGGTTTCTCTGTGTAGGTTATCCCACTGAAGGAGAGTAAAGACTATCACCCAAATTCTTTGAGCAACTTAAACAAGCTTTATTTTCTGTCAGAGAGGGCTATCTTCCTGAAGCTGGGTTTGAAAATAAAGCACTGAACACAGAAGGAAGTGGGGCTCACATATCCCCCCAAAACTGCAGAGCAAGGGGGTTTTCAAGGGCTGGTGGATTTCCAGAGGAACTTTTGTTAAGTAGGGAATTTGGCTGGACATTTTATACTTATTTGGCAGAACATCTTATCAAGGTATGTTCAAGCTGTGAGTCAAACCCCGTAGGGTGGGGAGCATGTCAAATTCCAGAAACAGGTTAAAGCACGGTCAACTTGAATTTGGCAGCAAACAAACGAACTTGTTCTGACCTTGTAACAAAATGGCTTCCATCCTTAAGGTGGAGTCAGGCTGGTCCATCATTAGCTCTGGCTGTCCTGAAATTCACTCTGTAGACCAGGCTGGCGTCAAACTCAGAGGTCCACCTGCCTCTGCCTCTGGGGGTGCTGAGATTAAAGGCGTGTGCCACCACCGCCTGGCTCAGAATGCCTTTTCTAACTATGAAAATACTGTGACCTGACACCCTCAAACAGCACACTGTGCTTTCCAGACTCCAAAGTACAACATTAAGAACTCAGCACAAGAGGACACATGCCCCCTGCCCCTTTGTTATTCGTTTTGTTAGAGACAGAGTCTCACCATGTAGCTATGGGTGTCCTGAAACCTAGGCTGGTCTCCAAGTCACAGAGATCCACCAGCCTCTGCCTCCTGAATGCTAGTATTCAAGGCCTGTGCCACCAGGTATGGCTAAGACACTTTTGAGAATGCTATATTTACATCACAGAGTGCATATGTCTCAGGTGAAAAATTAACGATAGGTAAAAAGTTTACTTTTAAATGTTAATGTTGATAACCATACATATAAAAGTCGCCAATAGATATTTTCATATTCAATTAAATCTGCAGTCGTTCCTTCCATGACTAATATCTAAAAGCTCTCCAGGGATGCTAAGTGCCCAAGTCCCCAGATATAACACGGAAGTTAGCATAGATGTATGTAAATTTGAAGAGCTTTGATCTTTTCACCAGAGGGAAAGGAATCGTGTTTGCAAATATCAACAAATAAATTCAAATATTATATAAGAGTATTTTATAAGAACATTTTGGCAATCTAATCAGAAGATAAATGGGGAAAAAAAAGATTGGTCCAGTTCATATGGTCTAAAATTTATCCACAAGGGAAACATCCACAACAGAACTTCAGTTCCTTATGAACAGCAGAGAAACTGCTCGCACCCCCGGTCCCTCCCCTCCCGTGTCCCAGCCCCGCAGCTCCTCTGACCTGGGAGGTTCCAGGGCCGCCGGGCTGCGGTTCCCGCCACTGCGCTGCTGACTGGTGACTTTCCCAGGCCGCCCCGCGCGGCGACTGCGGCTCCGGGGAGTTTCAGGTCCCCGCGACACCCCGCCGTGTCCTCCACACCCGGGTCTGCACCATAAGAATCCCCACGGTGCAGGACCTGGTGCAACGACAGAGAATGGGCACTTGGCACTTCCGATTTCTATCCTCCTTACAACTTCCCTGCTCTCTCCCACACGGTTTTCAGCTTTCCTTCACTTCACTCTCTTAACTCTTCCCTCTCTCAACCCTTCGTCTACACCCACCTAATGAGCCACATCCTTCCGACCTCTGTTTCCGGGTGAATGTCTCCGCCCCACTGAGACCCGTCCCTCCCACTCGGTCTCAGGCTGCCTTCCACACAGCTCCAGCTGTCAGGCTGCCCTGGACCCGCTCTGCACAGCCTCCCCACAGAACTGGATAGGAGGACGCTGCACCCTGGTATGTGATCCCCACAGTGAGTTCCGAGCCCTTCAGATAAAAGACAGGCAGCCTAACCTCGACTTGACTACCAGCCTCAGGGGCTTCAACTTACAGAAAATATAACCCGCTAAATTCAGATGCCAGCGTTCCATCGCTAACACAAACATGACAAGCCAAAAGCAAATACTGCAGTTGTGACTTGGGGAGAGACATTACAGGAACCTGAATTTTGAAAAGAAATACGTGGCTCCGTAAATCAGTGGTCAGCCCAGTGCTGAGTTCATCCCGCGCTGTACTGTTCTCACCACTAGATGGTGGTCTTGGCATTTTACTAACTCAGGAACAAGTTCTGCGACTCAGGCTAAAAGTCTGAGATACAACTTTAATCCCCATTTATCCATACCCACCCTGCACCTCCAGTGGATGCAGAGACACTTGCTGTCTCAGAAATCAGTAAGGTACGTGGTCCGAGTCCTAAAAAAGTCAGTGGCTCTAGGAACATTGAAGAAGAGGGGGAGGAAAGGGAGTAAGAAGGGAAAGAGGAGGAAGGGCTAAGACATGCCAGTCTCTAGACTCCACACAGCTGTTGTAATCAGTAACCAACAGCAGCTGTACTGACCTGCATGGACCTCACACTAGACCACAATCAGTCTAGGAAAGGAAAAGGCTCACAGAGCCCACTCTTTACCTTTCAAATGTTGGCTTTAGATAGAGTGTAGGAGAAGAATCTCTGCCTTTAGCTGCAGTCCTCTGCTGAGCCCACCAGACTCCAACAGCTCCAAAGCCACAGTCTCACAGATGGTCCTGGATAATCTCAGTGGATCTCAAAGCTAAAGGAATGGAGATGAACACAACAGAGATTTGTTGGAATTGTGGACCAGGATAGGAGAGAGGTAGGAAATGAGAATGGACAGTATTTGAGATGTGTGTGTGTGTGTGTGTGTGTGTGTGTGTGTGTGTGTGTGTGTGTGTGTGTGAAATAGCTAATAATAGTTTTTTTAAATGTCCATAACAGTCTTTTTTTTTTTTTTCCAGTCAAGAAGTATTGGTAAGTAGCTTTGCTGTTAGTTCTCCTTAGAAGTTCTGATAGATGGTTGTGCGCCTGGGCCCAAAGCCTAGGGGCTGGTGAGTTCAGGTATGAGGATAAAGGCTCACCGCTTAGTCCAGTCTGGCAGGCTCTGTTATGGGAGGGTCCAGCTGGAGCAGGGACGGAGTGGGAGAGCAGGGAAGGAGATACAGTGATAAATGAAGACATCATGGGAGTGGGAAGAGGCAGGGTACCGGGGAACCTCTCAGGAATCCACAGGGATGACCCCACCTTGGACTGCTGGCAGTGATCGAGGGGGTGCCTGGACTGGTCTACTCTGATGACCAGTCTAGTGAATACCCTAACTGTCATCATAGAGCCTTTATCCAGTGACTGATGGAGGCCAATGCAAAGATCCGAGGCTGGGTGCCAGGCTGAGCTCCTGGAATCCAGTTGATGAGAGAGAGGAGGGATTCCGTGGGCAGGGGACTTACAGATCATGATGGGAAGACAAGCAGAGATGACTGCCACACTGGTGAAGACCCATGAACTGTGGACTAGTGGCTGTGGAGCCCCCATGGGACTGGTCTAGGCTCTCGGGATACAGGAGACAGTTGTTTAGCTCGAACTGTTTGGGGGGACACCCGGCCGGGGGCGGGGGCAGGGGCGGGGGGCGGGGGGCGATGATCAGGATCCATCCCTTGTTCACGGTCAGGTTTTTTGGAGCCTGGTGCCTGTGGTGTGGCACCTTGCCGCAGCCTTGGTGCGGTGGGGAGGGGCTTGGACCTGCCTCAGCTAGGTGTGCCAGGCTCTGCTGACTCCCCAAGGAAGACCTTGATTTGGAGGATGTGGGGATGGGGGGTGGCTTGGGAGGGAGGGCTGGGGGGTGGGAGGAGGGAAGAGGTGGGATCTGTGGGTAGTATGTAGGATTAGTATAAAATTTCTTAATTAAAAAAGTGGAAAAAAGATGAAAAAAAAAAAAGAAGTTCTGATAGAATCCTGACAACCTGGTCAATTAGAGTATACAATTCAGTGGGATAGAGGTCTTTAATATCAGTAGAGATAAGATAATATCATCCGATTTTCAATTAGGTTGCGCAATTACCTTGAGTAATTTTCAAGACAAGATAAGAAAAAGTTATGTATAGTTGAGCAAGGTCATGCAAGCCCTAAACTCAGCACTCAGGAGGCAGAAGCAAAGGAAGCTCTGAGTCCAAGGCCACTCAGGTCTATTTAGTGAGTCTAGGACAGCTGGGAACACACAGAGAGACTCTGTCTCAAAATAAAGCAAAGTCACTCCTGATGAATAGCATTTATGCTACCGGAAGTACAATGCAAGCTTCCAGAGGAGGGAACCAAGCAACAGTCCTAGCCAGTGATGATGCCTGTGGAGCACATCAAAGATCATCATTGCAGAATAACCCTAAAGGTGCAGTAGCTGCAATCAGAACTTGGTGGTAACCAACAGCTCTCTAATTGGACTTACAGACCGATTAACAAAATTGACCTCATAACAAAAGGAAAACTATGACTGGTACTGGAAACCTTGCTACCTACTCAGTGCTGGTGAAGTTATGGATCTTGGAGGAGAACTTCTCTACAATTACTTTACTAACCCTGCACAATCCCTCTAAAACCATAAACATTTGTCCTTGTACCCACAGATTAGCTTAGTCTTAACTTCCCCTCAAAGAAACTTCTCTTTGAAACAGACAGAGACAACTACAAAAACGCCACACCAGAAGGAATCAAATGCAAAAGTGTGGATGTCAGGCCCAGTGGATACATCTACAAAACACTCCTCTACATAAGGCTCCAGGAATATTTTTTGAAGAAGGGGTAGAAATATTGTAAGAGCCAGAAGAGGAAGTTTGCTGTGAGATTGTGTCTCCTAGTAATGCAAGAAGCTACATCCATAAAATCTCACCGCCATGACCACCCAAAAGGGAAACTAAGCAAGGACACAAACACCAAACATGAAAAACTGAATGGTGAAAAGGCCACAGGACCTCAGCTGTACACAGAGAACCACAGGCAGCTGAGGAATACTGGGAACTGGAGAAATACTGTCCCTAAGGGAAGAGCACACTCACTGTTTATCCAATGCCAACAGGCTAGCCTTGAAAACATGTGTCCAAGTAACATTACATGGACTGACTAGGGTATATACAGGAATATATATGTATAGACAGAGAAATATATATGTAATAACAGTTAATGAAAAAAAGAGGCCACGGGTTTGAAAGAGATGGAGGATTTGGTGGGAGGAATGAGAAAGGAGAAATGTTGTAACATACTATAAGCTCAAAATTTAGAAAGAACAACAACAAAAAAACCCAAAGTAAAACAAAAATAAAACAAAGAACAAACAACAACCAAACTAAAACCAAACCAAACAAGCAACAAATCAAACCTATCAGGGAAAGCAAGACTTGGACTCACTGCCAGTTAGAATGGCCAATGTTGGGAATATAAATGATATCAAATGTGCACAAGTGTGAGGAAAGACAGTCATAGACTGTGGGAACAAGAACTAGAGAATGAACTTTAAAAGTCAAGTAGATGTTCCAGAAATAATAATAAAAAGGAAAGAAAGACACCTACCATGTGACCCAATTACAGCAGTGATGTGTGACTCGTGTATGTATGCAATATAGTTAGTGAAAAAAGTGGCTACAAACTTGAATGAGAGCAGGAAGGGGTACATCTAAGGATTTGGATGGAGAAAAGTGAGAGGAGAAATGTTCTGATTATATAATACACTCAAATTTTTAAATGTTAAAACAATGAACAAACAACAGTAATCCAAAGTAAAATCAACACAAATATTCAAATGTTATATACCTATCAGGAAATGCAGACTAGAACTCCTTTAAGCCTCCATGCTGCCCTAGCTACAATGTCCATCATCAGGAATAGAAATGATACCTAATGTTAGCACCAATGTGAGGAAAGGAAGTCATACACTGCTGTGGGAGTGAGAACTAGAGAATCAACTTTTGAAATCAGTCTCATATTCTCAAAGCAATGAATAAATGAAAGAAAGAAAACTACCCGGCTACCCAGTTACAGCACTGATGTGTGACACTATTCCTGTGAAAACAATAGCAAACATCTGCTAAAGTAGACAAGAGAACCAATAAAAACCAAAGTTGGGAACCAACAAAGTCTATCTTGGTGAACCAATGAGAATTGTTTCTTTCCTTTTTCAGATATGTTTTTCCAGCATGTACGTCTGTGCACCATGTGTGTTTCTAGTGCTAACAGACCCAGAAGAGGGCATTGGATGCCCTGGACTTGAGGTTACACATTGAGTGCCCATGTGAGGGTGCTGGGAATTCAAAGGGAGTCTTCTGAAAGAGCAGACAGTGCTCTGAACCACTGAGTCATCTCTAAAGTCAAGTCGACCAGTGAGTTTTATTGGGGTCCCTTACAAGAGTGTAGGTGAGGGGTTACTCATAGAAGCAGAAAGGATTTGATGACAGTTGCATCACCCTTTGCAGGTGATGGCTAATGAAGCTGGAAATGTGGGGATCACTGCACAGCTTGCAGGCAGCTCAAGGGAGGTTGGAAGTGTCTCTCAAGCCACTCACTACCTCCTCCAGGCAGCTTGTCTTGTCTGGTCCAGGCATCTTGACTGGTATCTGCTCCATGGCTGGTCTGAGCATCTTCTGTGCAGCTCAGCTGTCTGACAGTGTCAGCAGTCCTTACCGACTATCTATGCTTGAGGCAGGAGGGCGCGAGTGAGTTTTGCTAGTTTCTCTGACTTACTGAAGATATTAAGATGTTTATTTCTGAGCTCTGGGAGCTTCTCTGTAGGACTGAATGTATCACCTCCCATTAGAGCATTTCTTTATCTATTTTTTGACACCCCACATTTTAAAGAGCTTCATCCAAGGTGGAAGGGTTTAATCAGAAGAAACTGATACACAATAACACTCCTGGCTATGAAGTCCAAGGACTTTACATCTTACCAGTGAGCAGCCACCCATCATATTTGTTGCTACTTTTTTTCAAACTAATGCAATCAACTCAAATGCCCACCAACTGACACATGTGTAATTGAAATGCGATACATATCTACAAAGATATATTAGTTGTAAATAAAAAACGAAACTGTGAAATCTAGTTGTAAATGTAGGCAATAGAAAATATGATAATGAGTGATGCCATCTAGGCCCCAAAGGTTAAACAGCACATGTTCTCTGTCATAACTTAATCCTAGCATCAAACATTAAGTTCTCTGTGTACAGTAAGAGTACACATAGAAGTCAGGAAGCTAGAAATGGACCATTAGTGGGAGATGGAAAAGAGAGGATGGATAGTAGAATAGTAGGATAGATAGTAGATAGGTGAGATGAAATTGGAAGACAGAATGCTAGGGGCAGAAATGGTTCAAGTATTAAGTGGAGTGATGGGTGCGGGACCCAAGCAGCAGCTTAGCCACATAGCTGCCATGACAGGCTTAATAGAAACCAGCCAAAAAGTAGGCCTGAGTTTCAGTTTACTGGCAGGCAGCACCAGCATCCAGGAAAAGCCAGGGATGGGCCAGCATCTAAGGGGAAATACTTGACATTCCAAACATTCCAACCATTAGATAAGATTGACAGATGTCCCAAGATCCCCCTAAACAAATGTCAACCAATCAGGTTCCTGAACCCTGAAAATTCCCTCACCCCAACCTTGCTATGATAAAAACCCTACCCCAACAGGGCTCAGGGCTCTCTGCTCTCACCACTGCGTCACACAGATGG